GATGTGTACCGGCAATGGGTTAGCTGAGCTTCCACAGTGATCATTTTTAAATGAATGATTTTAACGTAACTGTCGAGAACAAGTAAATTAGCTGAATGTAAACAGCAGAAAATATGTGAGTGAATTTGTCACTGTTCAAAAAGCTTTGCTAGTGACTTGAAATCTGAAATTTATATTGTGTTAAGAAATTGAGGCTGGGGATTTAGCTCAGTGACACTGAGCCTGCCTTGCAAGCGCAAGGTTCTGAGTTCGATCCCTGGTACCAAAAAAAAGTGGGGGGGAATACATGTTCATTGAGAGAGGGGTAGTGGCGCATGCCTGTAGTCCCAGCATTCAAGAGGCTGAGGCAGGAGGATCACAAGTTCAAGGCCAACCTGGACTACACAGTGAGACCCTGTCTCAAAAAAAGAAAAGAAAAAGAAGTAAATATTCATGAAAACTCTGAGTTATTTTGGAATGGGTTAAAGTACTGAAACCTTGGGGCTAAGGTAATAGCTGAGTGTAAAACTGTGTGTGCTTCATGTGTGCCAGGCCCTGGGTTCAATCCCAGCACCACAAACAGAAAAAAGCAAAGCAAAACCAAACCCTGAAAAATTAAATGCTGACTATAAGTTTTGAGTGTATACTCTGGCATATTATTTTTCTGCAGTAGCGAGAAGCTAAGTCTATGTAAGTCTGTTAATAAACATGAAAATGTTGTCATAAGGGAACATGTTTCTAAAACTTAGGCAATGGCGTCATCTATGTAAATTCTGTGTGACTGTGGACTTAGAAGAACCCAGGCAGCTGCCTGGTCCTTCTCAAGTCCTTAAAGCTTTCATTTTTCCTAAAATTCCGCACTCCTGTGCTGGGCCTAATGGTGCATGACTGTAATCAGCTACTCTGGAGGCTGAGGCAGGAGGATCGCAAGTTTGAGGCCAGCCTGAGCAACTTAGCAAGACCCTGTCTCAAAAATTGAAAGTGCTGGGAGCATAGCTTGGTGGTAGAGCACTTGGCTAGCATGTGCAAAGCCCTGGGTTCCACCCCCAGTTCTGAAAAACAAACAAATAAACAAAAAACTCTACACATGTCATCCTCAAGGTGGGTCAAAGAAACTAGGACCCCTTTTGTCTGAGCAGACTGTAACACCCAGAAAAGTCATTATTTCCCTTTCCATTTCTCCCTGGAAGACCTCCTTCCAGAGGCTCCTGCACCATACCCTGGAGGACGGAAGGTCACACAGAGAGATCAGGATGAGCGGGGTTCCCCTCCCTGGTCTGTACCCCTTTTCTTTCTTTTTTTTTTGTAGTCCTTTTCTCCAATCGCACTGCTACTTGGCCTCCATTCTTGACTGAACCCAAGCATAAAATCAGACACTTTCCCTGACTCTTCATTTCTGAAGCTCATGTCATATAAAACTTGGATTAAATACATTTATTATGCTTTTTGCTTTTATGGGGTTTTTTTTGTTTTTTGGTACTGGGGACCGAACTCAGGTTCTTGCGGTTGCACAGCAGGTGGCGAAACCACTGAGCTAAATCCCCGGCCCTTTGCCGTTTTTTTTTGAGACAGGGTCTCACTATGGGACCTCAAGCTAGCCTTGAACTCACTATGGAACTCACTATGGAGCCCAGGTGGGCTTCAACTCATGGTGATTCTCCTGCCTCAGCCTCCTGAGTTCTAGGATTACAGGCATGTGCCACCACACCTGGCCTTATTATGGTTTTTTTTTTTGTACCAGGGATCAAACTCAGGACCTTGTGGTTGCGAGGCAGGCGGCGGAACCACTGAGCTACATCCCCAGGCCCTTATTATGCTTTTAAAAAGTCCTGTAGGAAAAAAAAAAATTCCTGTAGATTTGGGGATGTAGCTCAGTGGCACCACGCCTGCCTGGCAAGCGCAAGGTCCTGAATTTGATCCCTGGTACCAAAAAAAAAAAAAAAAATCTTGTGCTCTGTAACTAATGATAGAACAGACAAAATGATTCATATTATGAAAAAAATATTGGTGGGGATTTTTGTTCTAAATGTGCTAAAATAGCCGGGGATTTAGCTCAGTGGTTCCAGCACCTGCCTTGCAAGTGCAAGGTCCTGAGTTTGATCCCCGGTACCAAAAAAAAATTTTTAAATAGAAATGAATAAATAAATAAATAAATGTGCTAAAATAGCTTAGAGCCAATATTTGGCTCACTAAACCCATAACCCTGGGAAGATAAGGGGAATTCTGGGTGATGCATTTCCTCCATCTGGGGACCATTTGAGCCTTCTGAGACTCACTTTGTTCAGTCCCCACCTGGACAGGACAGCAGGGCTCTCTGGTCACATTTCCCACGCAGGAGAGTGGAGCTATGTTGGTACCCAAGCTGTCACGCAGTGTGCTTACTTCATGACATCCCTGGATTTTTCTCCAAGGACAGGAGAACCCATTGACTGAGCCAGTTGTAAAGGCACTGAAGAAGGTGCCACCAACTCGGTGGCATCGCCCGGGTCTCAGGCACCTGCAGACTCCTGCGAAGGTGGAGGAGAACGATAAGCACTGGAAACCTGGAACTGGCCAAGCAGTGCGCCCGCCCCATGCAACAGGTAACACAGTGGGGGCTGCTGCTCTCAGGCCCATGAGTCCGAGGGGGAGAAGTCCGAAATGATACAGTGTTGGGACAGCAAGTGTTCTAGGCTGCTGCTCTCTCTCCTGTTGCTAGAACTGCCCACGGGTCTGTGGTGACACAAAGTTCCAATTTAAGAGGGGGTGGCGTGACCCTATGAAGGCGGAGAGAACCTTGAGATGGAGCCCTGAACCTTTAGCCTGCGGGCTGGTAAAAAAAAAAAAAAAAAAAAGGACAGAAAGAAACAATTAATTAATTAAGGGCTCGCCCAGTAGCTAATCACCCCTGACCTTTAGTCAAGAACCCTAAAAAAAGGAGATTAAAATTCTAATTACCTCAATTTCCTCATTCCAAACCATATTAAGAATCAAAGTATCACTCTCTGCCCTATAGATATATGTAATTAGTACATGGGAGTAAAAACATTTCTTTATAAACTTGGGAAAATAGTTTCCTAACACAACATGGTGACTCGGAGTGTGTGTGGGGGGGTGTCACTTCAGGCAGGGAGTGCTCCCCGGGTCTATTTTTAGACCTGTGTGCTGAGGGCATTCATGCCTGTGTGACGGACCTGCAGAGCTTTGTCATCTTGCAGAGCTGTGACTCTGCACCCACGAAACCACTCCCCATTTCCTCTCCCCAGCCCCTGGTGCCACATCTTCCTTCTAGGAATTTCACACTGCCAGTACCTCACACAGATGGTGTCATACAGTATTTGTCCTTTTGTGACCGGCATAAAGTGCTCAGGGTCCACTTCAGTTGTCCCATATGTTGGGATCTCTCTCTTCCCTGGGGCTGAGTGCTTGTCAGTGTATGGAGGGACCACGTTTTGTTTATTCATTCATGCGTGGATGGACTCTTGGTGTATTAAACCATTTTTCATTGCAATAACAAAGTACATGGTGGTAGATAATGCATGAAGGAAAGAGTTGAGTCAGCTCAGTTTGGGAAGTTCAAGATCCTGGCTCGGACATGCACTCGACTCTTGAGTGTGTCCTGGCTGCATCGAGTGGCGGAGAACATCAGGGTACAAGCATATGGCAGAGGACTGGACAGGAAAGGAGAGCCAGTCTGGCTCTGTGTCCCTTCCAAAGGTATAGACTTAAATGGCCTCTTTGCCCCCCACTACCCTCCACATATAAAGTCCCCTCGCCAGGCCGAGGACCTGGGGTCGAGCACTCAATCCCTGGGGACACACTTAGAAATCATTTCCTAACCTGGCAATGGGTTGCTCCCACCTCTCGGCTACTGTGAATTCTGCCGCTCTGATCCCAGGGTGCAGACATCTGTCTGTGTCCCTTGCTTTTTTTTTTTCAGTACTAGGGATCAAACTCAGGGAGCAGTGAGCTACCTCCCAGGGTCTCACAAAACTGAATCCTCCTGCCACAGCCTCCAGAACAGCTGGGATTACAGGTGTGCACCGCTATGCCCATCTGACTCCCTGCTTTTATTTATTTATTTTTAAAATTTTATTTATTTATTTATTTTTTGGTCCCAGGGTTTGAACTCAGGTCCTTGTGCTTGCGAGGCAGGCGGTAGAACCACTAGGCTAAATCCCCAGCCCCTGACTCCCGCTTTTAATTCCTTTGGATGTTCATTCAGAAATGGGGTTGCTGGATCGCAGAAATACTTTTGAACGCAGCCTGAGGCTACAGAAACTTTCTGTGTCCTTATCAGAGACTACACCTGCGGGTGTGCCAGGCCTGTGGAGGACGCAGACTCACGCCTGGCGCCCATCTACCTATTGAAGGCAGCAGGGCTCAGCCTAATGAGCACAAGCCTTAGGGCCAATCGTGTCTGCGGGCTCAGGGCAGTGGCTGCATTATCACAATGGCCTGCGATAATCAGAGACACACATAGGCCCCTAGTCAATACGGACCCCATCAGCCTCACCCTGCCCACAGCAAGTCACTTCCAGCCCTGAGCCTGCAGGGCCACTAAGGTCACTGAGGACAGGCCACATGGGTGGCGAGGTAGCCTCTGTTCCCTCATGTACAGGGTTCGTGGCATCCGAGGCCACACCCAGCCAGTGGCTCCAGCTGGGTGGTTCAAGCCCCATCTCCCTCCAGCCCCAGAGCAGAGGCTGCCCCAGCTGATTCTCAAGAATAATAAAAAAGGAGGTGAAGGAAGGACTGATAGGTGCTAAGACAGTGTAGGCAGAGGGGTGGGACAGCCTCCAGTAGCACAAAGGGCTGAGCCCCTGCGCTACATGGTGGGGAGGCATCATGCAGTGGCCTCAGGACCCTCGCCGGGCTTGCCTGCCCTTCCCTGACCCTTCCTAACCCCATAGGGCCGGGGCGGGTCAGGGTGGCCACCCAGATGAGGGGAGGGAACAAAGTCTCCCCCTATTTAAGCCGTGACTGTGTGCAGTAGCTAGTCCTCTGCCGTCCCAGCCTCCCACCCACCACCATCCCCAGACATGCAGGGAGCCCAGGCGCTGCTGCTGCTGCCACTGCTGCTGCTGGGCCTCAGGCTACGGCTGACCCTTGGCATCATCCCAGGTAATGCGGCTCCCCCAAGCCCCCCACCAAGGGCCACCTCTGCCCCGGCCTGACCCGGACCCCCTCTCCCCGGCCAGAGGAGGAGGAGAACCCGGACTTCTGGAACCAAAAAGGAAATGAGGCCTTGGCAGCTGCTAAGAAGCTGCAGCCCATTCAGACTGCGGCCAAGAACCTCATCCTCTTCCTGGGGGACGGTGAGTGTGCAGGGCCGGGGCCCCTCCACCTCTGCCTCCTCCGCCTGGCCCTGCTGAGTCCAGGCCAGCCCGGGGCTCAGCCTGACGGGTTCTGCGCCTCAGGGATGGGGGTGTCCACGGTGACCGCCACCAGGATCCTGAAGGGGCAGATGCAGGGCCACCTGGGACCAGAGACGCCTCTGACCATGGATCGATTCCCATACATGGCGCTGTCCAAGGTGAGCAGGGCTGGGGAGGGCCCAGGGGCAGTGGGCACAGGCTCAGGTCTGGGTACAGACTGGGCTCTGCCTAGAGCACAGCTGAGGGCGTCTCTGTGCCCAGACCTACAGTGTGGACAGACAGGTGCCAGACAGCGCAAGCACAGCCACCGCATACCTATGTGGGGTCAAGACCAACTACAAGACCATCGGTGTGAGCGCTGCCGCCCGCTTTGCCCAGTGCAACACAACCTGGGGCAATGAGGTCACCTCTGTGATGTACCAGGCCAAGAAAGCAGGTACGCTTGGGCCTGGAACTGGGATCAGAAGCAGCCAGGAGCTCTACATGGCCCCTCCTGACCTCTGTCCTCTTCAGGGAAGTCTGTCGGAATCGTGACCACCACCAGGGTCCAGCACGCCTCGCCGGCAGGCACCTATGCACACACCGTGAACCGCAACTGGTACTCGGACGCCGACATGCCCGCCTCAGCGCGCCAGGAGGGCTGCCGGGACATCGCCACGCAGCTCGTCTCCAACATGGACATTGATGTGCGGCACGAAAAGGACGGGGAGCGGAGCTGGAAGAAGGGGTGGACCACAGTCCCAGGGACCCAGCAGCCTGGGCCCTGCGGCCTCCATGGGTGTCTGGGGGGCTCCCGAGGGGTGGCAGGGTGGGTGGATGGGGAGCTGGGATTGTGTGAGGAGGGGACAGGTGGTCATTCGTGCCCCGAGTCCAGCTGTTCTCATCTGACCATAGGTGATCCTGGGTGGGGGCCGGAAATACATGTTTCCCTTGGGGACCAGAGACCCTGAGTATCCAGATGATGCCAACTCCACGGGAGCCAGGCAGGACGGGAAGGACCTGGTGCAGGAGTGGCTGTCCAAGCACGAGGTGACGGGCGCACGGGGCGGGACCTGGGGGTCGGGACAGACTGCGGTTTCGGGCTGTGGGCTGAGGCCTGGCTGTCCCCGAAGGGCTCTCAGTACGTGTGGAACCGCACAGAGCTGCTCCGGGTGTCCCAGGACCCGTCCGTGACCCGCCTCATGGGTGAGAGCCCTCCCGCCTGCCCCTGGGTGGCCCCAGACAGCCGCCCTGCAGCACGTGTGAACCCCTGCCATGACCCCTGCCAGCCTGGCAGTCACCCTCGGTCCCTTGTCCCTCAGGCCTTTTTGAGCCTTCTGACACAAAATTTGAGATCTCCCGAGACCCTGAGCTGGACCCGTCCCTGGCGGAGATGACAGAGGCAGCCCTGCACGTGCTGAGCAGGAACCCCAACGGCTTCTACCTCTTCGTGGAGGGTGAGGGGGGCGCCTGGCACACAGGCCGGGAGGGGCATCCGGAAATAATGGAGCAAGCAGCAGCTGTCCTGGGTTCCCGCAGGGGGCCGCATCGACCGTGGTCACCACGAGGGCTCAGCCTACCGAGCACTCACCGAGGCGGTCATGTTCGACTCTGCCATCGACAAGGCCGGGCAGCTCACCAGCGAGCAGGACACCCTGACCCTCATCACCGCCGACCACTCCCACGTCTTCACGTTCGGGGGCTACACCCTGCGGGGGACCTCCATCTTCGGTAGGCCAGGGGCTGGGCGGGTGCTCCTGCTCATTTGATGGCAAAGGTCTCTCTGAGCCTCAGTTTCCTCATCCGTCCAGTGGGCAGGCTGATGATAGCACTGCTTCGTGCGGATCTTGGTTGGAATCAGCCCCAGACCAGACTAAAAGTGGGGATTGAGCAGGCGTACAGGTGCCCAAGCAGTGGTCGCTCCTCCCCCTGCAGGGTTGGCCCCTCGCCTGGCTGAGGACGGCAAGACCTACACCTCCATCCTATACGGCAACGGCCCAGGCTACGTCGGGGACAAGGGTCCCCGGCCCAATGTCACCGCGGAGGAGAGCGGTGAGTGGGGAGGGATCCCCAGGGGTTCAGGGGCAAAGAGGAGCTGGGGAGGCGGAGCCCGACTGTGCTGACCGCTGTGTCGCCCCAGGCAACCCCACCTACCAGCAGCAGTCGGCAGTGCCTGTGCAATCGGAGACCCACGGCGGCGAGGACGTGGCGGTGTTCGCGCGCGGCCCGCAGGCGCACCTCATGCACGGCGTGCAGGAGCAGAGCTACATCGCGCACCTCATGGCCTTCGCCGGCTGCCTGGAGCCCTACACCGCCTGCGGCCTGCCGCCGCCCGGCCACAGCGCAGCCACGGACGCCCCCGCGGACGCCAGCGCGGACGCTGCGCCGCCTTCCCTGGCGCTGTTGGCCGGGACCGCGCTGCTCCTGCTGGGGGAGACCGCTGCGCCCTGATCGCTGTCCCCTCCGGCTCCGCCCAGCGCCCCGCCCCGGCCTCCTGCCCCGCCCCACCTGTCCTCTCTGAAACACCCAGGTCCCCCACCACTGGCTCCTGTGCCCCTTCCCGGTTGTTCCTGATCCTCACAAAGGGCCCCCAGGCCCCACCTCGGGCTGCCACCGCCAGGGTCCCTACGGGGTTTTCCTCCCAGGATACCCACCTCTGGGCGGACCCAGCCTCAGAGGAGCAAGGCTTCCCCTTCCCCCGCAGCGATCCAGCAGCCTTGGAGGCCGAAGCCGTGAGCCCCACGCCCACCCCGATCGGGGCGGGGTGGGCTACTCTCGGACTCCCCTCCCCACCGCCCACGCCTGGACCCTTGCTTGGGACCCCGCGGGCACTGTTCCAGATCCCCCCACACACAAGCTGAGCCACATCCACCCTGCCCCGGGGATGGCCCTGCGTGGCTTCCGTCCCGCCACACCACAGACACCCGGGAATGAGCCTCTCTTCCCTACACCTCCATCCACACCTCCTACTGACTGCAGCTCACCCTGCAGGCCTCGAGCGCGGCCGCCTCTGGGATCTCTGCGAGGCTGGGACACCATCCCTGGCTGTCCCGCACCGACCCACCTCCGCACCCATCAGAGCGCACAGTGGGACCATGTCCCAAGCACTCAGCACCTCCACGCTTGACCCCCAGCTCCACCAGGAGGAGCCCCAGAAGCTGTGGCAGGGGCAGGCAGCGCAGAGCAGCCGATGTCCCCCTCCAAAGAAGACCCTCTGTCCCGCAGCTGATGGGAAAGACAAAGCAATAATAAAAGACGCTGTTATACAAAGTAATGGCAGTAATAAGTTGTAGTAACATAAACCAGAGTGCATGGGGGCCCAGAGTGTAGGTGCCAGGCTAGGTAAATAGATGGGGGGAGGGGTCAGGGAGAAGCTCTCTGGGGCAGACTCTGAACAATAGTCTCAGACAAATGCAGAACAACAGTGCAAAGGTCCTGAGGCAGCAACCAGCAGGAGATGCTTGAGTGCCTGGGTCAGAGTGAGTGATAGGCAAAGAAGTAAAGCCAGGGGGGTAAGGAGAAAGGAAGGTCAGAGAAGGCATTTGAACTCTAGGAAGTGCGATTGCAAGCCTTTGAGGAGGGACTTGATGAGGATCAGGAGGACACAGCACTCTGGTATTTTCTGGGAGAGACATCTTGTGGTCTTTTCTTGATTTAAGGGAGGTGTGCAGAGGTGGGCAACTGGGAGGGAGGTGTAGACTCCAACACTTCTGCCTACACTGAGAACCTTCCGGAGCCCTGTCCTCTCGCTATACTTAGTGCCCATCTAACCTGCTCTGGTGAGAGCACTTAAAAGAACTACAAAAAGATGAAACCAACGTTTCTCAGCAAATTTTGCAATATTGGAAATTTATTTGTGCACTTACAGAGGCACAAAACAGTACTTTGCTCCCACTAGAAATATATTAGTATGATTGCATATGCTTCCTTATTTGCTAAAATCTTGATTGAACAGCATAAAACATCCATTTGAAGTCCTGGCTCTCGGGCAGTTTATTTCAATTCTGGGCTTTAGTGCTGTCGCAAAAATATGGGTGCTGAATGGAAGAGGGGCCGTCATTAGCTGAGCTTACTGAATCATCTTTCTCATTTTTAAATCCCAGCCACCAATTATGTGACAGCTTTTGTTTAATCCAGCTAGTATATTTCTGTCTTCCCTGTTGTCAATTATTCGGCCTTTGAACACAATGGGGAAGTGCTATGTGTTTATGTTTTGTAAATATGTTCAAAACCCAAGGACCTCCTCATTTAACATCTACAAGCTTCAGAAGCAGCTTGCTCTGGAATTAGATGGCAGTAACAGTTGAACAACTTTGTGAATATTATAAAACCATTAAATTGTGCACTTCCCAAAGGGTAAATTTTATATCAGGCAGGAGCATCATCACAAGTTCAAATCCAGTCTGGGCAACTTAGAGAGATCCTATCTCAAAATATAAAATAAAATATGGGGGCTGTAGCTCAGTGCTAAGACTCTAGTTCAAACCCTAGTACCACACACACACACACACACACACACACACACACACGTAAGTTTTATGGTATATGAATTATAACCTAAATTTTGGGTTTGTTTGTTTGTTTGTTTTGGTACCAGGGATCGAACTCGGGTCCTTGCACTTTCAGGGCAGTCGGCAAAACCACTGAGCTAAATCCCCAGCCCCTATAAACTAAATTTTAAAAAACAGATTAGGTAGTCTGTGCTTCAGAGTTTCAAGGTGTTTGCTCTGTCAAATACTTTGCTGGCCACTGAAGCAACTGCCAATGAAGACAACTTCCAATGTCTTTCAGAAGCATCCTTTCTTGCTAGGGTTGTAGCTCAGTGGTTCTGCACTTTCTTAGCATGGCTGAGGTCCTGGGTTTGATCCATAGCACTGCAAGAAGAAGGAGGTGGAGGAGAAGGGGGGGGAGGAGGAAGAGGAGGGGAAGGAGGAGGAGGAGGAGAAAGAGGGCTTGTTCTCAGTGGTCTGGAAAGTTTTCATGGTCATACCCAATCTCATTACCAAGTATCATGAAAATTCTGTCACAAGCCAGGCATGGTGGCACACACTTGTAAATCCAGCATTCTGGGAGGCTGAGGCAGAAGGACTGCAAGTTTGAGCCAATGTGGGCAATTTAGTAAGACCCTGTTTCAAAAAACCATTTTTTTAAGCCTGATGTGGTGGTGTACGCCTATAATCCCAGCACTCGGGGGGCTGAGGCAGGAGGATCACTGTGAGTTCAAGACCAGCTACATAGTGAGTTTGAGGCCAGCCTGAACTGCACAGCAAGACTCCATCTCAAAAAAAATTTTTTTTTTATTTAAAAGCCTGGGAATGTATCTCACTGCAAAGGCTCTGTGATTAATCCCCAGTACAAAAGAAAAAAAAAAGATTTTCCTTTAATAGGACAGTCTTGGTTTTATAAAATTAATCCCACTCATGGCCACATCCGCTGTGCCTCGGAGGCCTCTACTTCTTCCTCCAACAGTTTGAAAACAGACTAACCAATGGTTAAGCTTTGCAGGTGATGCAACCTCTGCGCCCTCATTGTTACCCAGAGTCCCTATAAAAACCCCTTCCAAGTGGCCCTTTCATCAGGGCTACACTTCCACCGTCTTCCCATATGATGCTATTTTTATTCAACAAGGTATTTACTGCTGGCAATATATCTTCTCTGCTCTACATTTCCTTTAGTGGCTCACACACAAAAAAATTGGTTTGTGTATTTCATTATCGGAACAGAATCCAGGAAATACCTTAAGCTGAGACATGTTAGAAACAGCTGTACTTTCAGCCAACTGTATACCAAACCTCCCACACTCAGTAATTTGCTCTAATACTCATTTCTTCCGATCTACAGCGATGTTTTCTCCACATCTTCCCAGAGTATTTGCTGACAAAGAAATGCCTTTCGGTTTGTCAACAGATCATTTACTGTTCATTGTTTCTGGCATTTTTTACTGCAAGAGGAAGAAAAAGTGTTTGCCCGGTGCTAGATTTTTTTTTTTTTTTTTGGTCTTATGCTATTATGCAAGAGACTTTAGAAGAGCTTTCCAAATATTTATCAATGCTTAGGGAAATATAAAAAAGTACTGGGCTGAACAGCACATAACTTTAAACATCGCTGGGAAAAAATTGTAGGGGTTTGTCTTCATGTTCTGAAAGCTGTTTTAAATGCCTTGCGAACCAGGAACATGCTGCTGTTGACGAATATCTCAAGGTACAAGGCACCCAGGGCTCAAGCTTCCCTAGCAATGATAGAGAGGAGGCTGCTTCAAATAGTTTCATTGCGTTTGCCTTCTTTTCTTTTTCTCTGGGACAAGGTCTCACTATGAAGCCCAGCCTGGCCTTGCACCATCCTCCTCACTCAGCCTCCCAAGTGCTGGGATTACAGGTGTGCACTACCATGCCTGGCTAGTGTTTGCTTTCTAACACAAGAGACTAGCTTCTTGCCACATCTGTACCAGGGGTGTAGGGGAACATACACCAGAAGTCAGGGGTTCTTGGCCCATCTGCTTCTGTTTGTGGTTCTCCTGGCTGTGGATTATTGGTATTATTTGCAGTTTCTTTTTTTTTTTTTTTTTTGGTACCAGGGATCAAACTCAGGTCCTTCCACTTTTGAGGCAGGCGATGGAACCACTGAGCTAAATCTCCAGCCCAGTTTGCAGTTTCTTTATAAGACTCTTTTGTCAGCCACTTGGCCATACAGGAGGATTACTGTGGTTAAACAAGATCATATGATCCATAAATCCCCTCAACCAGACCACTAAACTTGGATGCATCACAATCCACTGGAAGTGAGGAACACGGAAGAGGGGCGCTGTGTCACCCCCTGCCCAAGGCCCCTACTCTTTTCCTCTGTGACACCTGAAAATCACATGGGCTTTGGTGCCTGGCTGAAGGGTGAAAGCGCCAGCACAGAGCTTGATATTCATTTTTGTTGCTGGGGATGGTTTTTTGAGACAAGGTCTCACTATGTATTCCAGGCCGGCCTTGAACTCACTATGTAGCCCAGGCTGGCCTTGAACTTCCAGTGGTCCTCCTGCTTCAGCCTCCTGAATGCTGGAGTCACAGGTGTGCACCACCACAGCCAGCAGAGCTGCATATTAAGTATGAGGAGTGTTTGCTCCTACGTAGGAGTCCCCTGTGCAGACCCAGGGCACAGCTCCTGACGGCAACAATGCAAGTGGAGAGCCAGCACACAGCAGCACTCGGGAAGGCCTGGTGGCTCCAAATTCCTTCTGCAGGCCAGATGGGTCCCAATGTCCTCGGCCTGGGCAGGACTCTCAGATACAACTCCCCGAGACCACAGGCACCTCGCTCCCTGCAGAACTCAACCCCGAGAAGGGACCCAGCCAGATGTGGTGCCCCTGCCCCTGCACAGCCTTGGTGGCTGGCACAGGAAGCGACGGGATGGATAGAAAAGGCACACTGCCTCGCAGCATCTTAGGCAGGTGCCAGGTGTGCCCTCCTCCTGACCTTGGTTGCGTTCAGTGTTGGCCCAGGGGGTCCCAGGAACACACCCTCCACCCCATTTGCATTTGCATGCCAGGCCTTTGCCCCTCCTCCAGGAAGTCTCCCCAGAAGCCTGGCCTCCAGGTGGACACCAGAAAGCTGCCAGGATTTGCAGTGGCACCCTGTGATCTAAGGCTACCCCAGAGCCTACTTACTCCCTGCATGGTGGCCCTGCACACCCCATGCTGCAGCACGGACAAGCAGCTGGAAGTTCCCCTTGCTATAACCTTGCCCACTGGGGATGCCAGTCTTTGTTGGCATGCTTGGCACGGTGCCCGGGAACCAGCCACATGCATGCTGAGCTTCCCCACGGGGAAGAGACAGCTGTCCTCCATCCCAAATGGTGCGGCCACTGTCTGTCCTCAGCAGGGAGGCATCCAGCCCTGTGCCCTGTTTGGGACCTTTCTTTGCTCACCAGATTTGCACATTGTTGTTATCAGCAAGCATGGTGCCCCCCCCCGACCAGGGCCAGGGCTCCCCAAAGGAGCCACATCAGACTCCTCCACGAAGATCCCTGACAGCAGCCCTTGCAAGCGTTTGGTCCCACAGGAAGGTGGGAGATTTTTTAAATTATTATTTATGCAAAGTGTAGACAAGGAGAGATTCGGTTCAACAGCGCCATGTGACAGCTTGGGACTGGCGCTGCCTGCCACCTAGTGAATCAGGCAGCAGCCACTGCCAAGGCTCCCAGGTCCAGGAGGCAGTGGAGGTCAGGGAGGCCAAGCACCGGCTGCCTTCCAACCCGATGAGTTCACACTGGACTCTGGCCAGGTCTGGGCTGAACCCAGGGCCCCTTGCAGAACTCTGGGCACCCTGAACCCTGCACAGGAGTGGCAAGGAGGACAGGGAGGAGGCGGTGTCTTCTGCAATCAGGAGTGGTTTCCTGCTACACCACGTGCCCAGTCGAAGGGTGCCCTGAGCACAGCTGATAGCCACTATGGTAGTGGGGCAGGGGGGTCACAGCCAGCACTGGAGACAGAATGGGAAAGTACAGTGAACAAGCCAGGGCTGAGAACCCCACCACGACCCATGCACAGCAGTTGGGACAAAGAGACCCGGGCATCGAGGTGGGGCACTGTCCACAGGGGCACCGTCCACAGGGGCACCACAGGAAGAGGGGTCACCCTGGGGGAACCCCACCAGGACCCCAGGGTGTGGGTTCCAGGTCATTACAAGGACTGAAGCAAAGGCCAGGCCAGGACACAACTACCACCCCCAAGGGGAAGGGGCAAACCAGAGTCCCCGCCCCGCCTGCTTGTCCCCAGTGGACACCAGGGAAGAGCTCTTCTCCTCCATGCTGCTGCCAAGGTCTCGGTCTTGGAGGTGCTGTCCAAATCCTTGGATGCCAAAATGCAATGACAAGCGAGCTTCTGGAGCAAGGACTTCCCCAGGGAGGATGGTCTGCCAGACGCATTGTCCTGAAACCTTCTGGAAGCGCCGGGATTATAAATAGCATGATTGGTGGCCTGTATTTTTCTCCATAAACTCTCCCCAGCTCTGCCTCCCAAAGATCAATTGCTGTGCAGTGGCTGAAGCCTGGAGGGCTGGCTGCTGGCCCCAAAGCCCGGGTGCCCCCTTCCTACCCACTGTGGGCTGGGGGAGATGATGGAAATGGCCTGTGGCTCTTACAGAGGGAGAAGGAAAGGGGAAATGATAATTTTAAATGGTCCCCTCTGCATGTGAACGGGTGGGAGACAGTAATTCATATCTGTAAGAATAAATCTCTCCTTGGCAGCCTTGCTGGGACAGAGGCTGCCGTGACAGCGACAGAAAGCCAGGATCTGGGGTCACCTGGCACACAGTGGCCCCAAGAGGACAATGGCAGGGTGCACAAGTGCTTGGCCCCTGGACAAGCCGGGAGCCAGCGGAGGAAGGGGAAAAGGGCTCCTTTTAATAATTAAAGGAAAGAGGGCTTGAGCCAGCCCAGGGGAAGGAAGAGAAAGAGACAGTAGACCTGAGCTGCACACGCTGTGCCCTGAGCACCCCAAAGCTCAGCAGAGCACCCGACTGCACCCAGTCTTGTGTGAGTGGCACCCCAGGAGGGAAGGAACCAGGGGTCTATGGGCTGGGAAAAGCCAGGCCACCCAAGGGGCTAGGAGGAGAAGCCCAAGCCTCTGGAGTGTCTCAGAAACCCTGGCCACCGAGCTGGAGCTGGGCCCAGCCCACTCCACTGGTGTCCCTCCCTCCTGGGCCATCTTCCTAGCCTGCTTCAGATCCTCCCAGCTCTGTGCAGAGGTGAGACACCCTGGGTTCAAAGGCATCCTTGGGGCCGAGGACCCTGAGTCAGCTCACATGGAGCCAGGGTGGGGCTGGGGTACCACAGAGGCAGCAGCTGCACAGCCCTGGGAAGGGGCACCCATCACCCCTCATTGCTGCTGCTGCTATTCCTGGGACCTAGAGATGGTGACTCCCATACCAAGGTCACCCAGCAGTAACCCCTGGGGCCAAGGCCCAGGGGCAAAGCTGTGGGTAGCAGAACCAGGTCCAGCGCAGAGGCCCAGACAGCCTGAGGACGCTGCTGAGGCAGGAGCCATGAGGCCCTGCACACATGGGCTCCTGGGCACACAGGTGGACGCCTGGAAGCTTAAGCACAGCTGCACCCATCGTCCCCCGCTTCTTTGTTTCCCTGCTATTAAATGCTGAGGGAAGATTGCTTTCCGCCATTCCAATGAGCTGCCTGCTGCGTGGGTGAGCCCTGGATGCAACCAGCCCTTGAGCGCCCTGCCACCACTGGGAAGAGCCTTCCCAGCTGTGCTCATGGCCCTCACCCAACACAAGGGAAACTGAGGCTGGCTGAGCATCGGTGCTGAGCTCTTTCACTCTCTTCCACCCCAGGAAAACCAGTCTGCTAATCCCTAAGGCAACCCGGGCACAGGCCCTGGCCACCATGGAACCAGGCACAGTCTGGGCTACAGGCGTGGTCTCCTCACACCCAAGCTCAGGAGCACTCTGAAGGCAAGGCACAGCCACCTCTGGATGCCGTTGCGGTGACCTGCAGCTGATGCCACCTCCCTGGTCACGGAGAGGATGCTTCGAGGGCCAGAGTGCACTTTGGGATGAGTGGGTGACAGAGTGATGGCCGGTCTCACTGGGAACCCCAGGTTCCTTCCCCTGCTCACGTTCTCAGCAAGGCACAGATGGAGGGAGGAGAGTTTGACCCTGGGAGTGTGCCCGTCTCACCCCATTTCCCATGAAGGGCTGCTGCAGGGTCTCACCAGCCCCTGCCCTGCAGCCTCCCCTGATCCCACCAGACCAGGAAGGAACTGGGGAGTCAGGGAGCCCCAGGCAGGGCCGAGAGCTGGGCCTGGAGCCCTGATCCCAGCCAGGATCCTAGACCAGAGGAACGGGCTGGACTTGGGGTGTGGAGGGTCCCAGACACCAGGACCTTGCGGACTGTCCCATCCCGGCTGCCCGAGGGGCATAGTATGCAGGTGCCCCACCCAGGAGGAGAGGCCCAGAAATATAGCACCCCGTGGGCCACCTAAAAGAAGTGTGGCACAAGCCAGGCTTGGAGGTGCACACCTGCAAGTAATCCCAGGAGGACTGCAGGTTGGAGCCCAGCCTGGGCAATTCAGCAACTTAGCAAGACCCTGACTCAAAATAAAACTAAAGAGGACCAGGAATGTAGCTCAGTGCAAAGGCCCTGGGTTCCATCCCGAATACTGGGGAGGGAAAAAAGTCTGCCATGAAGGAGCCATTGGCAGGCAGCTCTGCGCCGGGCTCTGTGTTGACTGAGGGCCTCCCCTCACCTCGGAGCCCCAGCCCCTTTGACACTGCCACTCCTGAGAGGTTCTTCTCAGCCCCAGCCTGCTCTGGGCCACATGTTGGTATGCCCAAGGCCAAGATGATAGGCACTTTTAGAATGTCCCTTCGGGCTGGGGAGCCGGCATGCAGGAGGGAGATTCGCCGCTGTAGTTCACAGATGGGAACAGGGTCCCTGAGGTAACAGAACAGATAGGAAGGAAGGGCAGGAGCCCCTGAGCCCCATCCCTGCAGATGCTGGGAACCCTGGACCAATACAAGGAGCCTCCCTGCTGCTGTCCCTCCACGAGGGTGGGCAGCTGTGACCATCCAGGCAGCACTTCCGGTTCCTCCTTGCTTGGCCACACCTGGGGCCCCACTGCCAGCCCCAACCCCTCCTCTCCCTTTCTCACCCCAGAAGACCCCGCTCCAGGCTGCAGAAGCCAAGAAGGCCCGGCCCCAACGCCACAGAACCGGGGGGTCACGACTGCCCTTCCCAGAGCAGAAGCGTCTCGTGCCTTCCAATGTCAGCGAACGTGTAACCCTGCAATGCAGGTCTCAGGCCACAGGCTGCCCAGGAAGCCGCAGCAGGGCTATGGGGGAGGAGGCCTGGCCCGGGTGCAGTCAGTGGGTGATGGAGGGGGCCAAAAATTGCCAAGCCAAGGCAGCTAGAGAGGCCGAGGACAAGGCTCCCTCCAGAGGGCCCGCCTGGCCCTGCTTGCTCGGGTCCCTTGAGGAGGCCATAGCGACAGTACAGCAACTTTATTGAGCAGACAGCAGCAAGAACATGGTGGAGGTGGGGCCTGTACAATCCAGCTGGGGGTCTGCATGGTCCCGCATGTTCCCCAGAGCCCACCACACCCCTGCTCCAGGCCCCTCCAGAAGTGAGGAACGCCAGGGGCCTGGGCTGGAGGGGCTGGGAGGCCGGGGGCCCAGAGTGGGGCGGCCTGGGCGCATGCCTGCCCGGCAGCCAGCAGGAGGCAATTCATGCGGGACAGTGGGGGCGTGCAGGTGGTGGGCAGCCAGGCTCACCACACTGAGCACTTGTGCACAGGGTTCATGGGCGAGTCCTTGGGGCAGTGGAAGGCTCGGCCGAACTCCTCAAACTGAGACACGCTGCCCAGCACCCTGGGGTGGGGGCAGAGACCCAGGCATGTGGTTCCTGCCCAGTGGCTGCCCCACCCCAGCTGCTGGGGTTGACCTTCTATGTCCTCCCAGCCCCTCTCCCAAGCAGGCAGGTGGGCGTTACCTGTAGTGCTCAGGTGCATGCTTGTCAGTCAGCACCTGCAGGTAGATGGACTGGGACCGCCTCTTGATGCACCAGTTCTGGGCCCCAGAGGGGACAGAGGGGAGGAGAGAAAGGGATGAGGACCAGCACCTACTGTCCACCCGCACATCAGCACCCACAGGGCATCACTTCTGAGGAACCTGGGATGGGACAGGCTAGACACACAGGGACCCCCGAAGCCGGGACTGATCCTGGATGTTATGTCCCTGCCAGCTCCCGCCCCACACCTGGGCAAAGGCGATGAAGAAGAGCTGGTTGTGTGTGTACTTGAGCCGGTGCAGCGGGTGCTCTGGGCCATGCTCCCGCACCCACTTCTGATAGGCCTGGGGGTACAGACAGCAGGGAGCCGCTGGGCCACATGCCCTGAGCACTGCCCGGTCTCTGTCCTCCACCCAGCGAGCTCCTCCCTGGGATCCTGGGTCCAGGAGAAGGCCACTCCCTCCCTCACCAGCTGTAGCTCTGCAACTACCACCATGCTGTGCCCCTGCCTGGCCACCCTCCTTGCACTGTGCTCCAGACAGGCTGACCCTAGGCCAGTGCCACTCTGTCCAGGCAGCCCTCCCTGCTCTCCCGGGTAAGGCAGGGGTGGTGGCTCCTTCCTCTTCCAGCGGACCCTGTGCAGGGCACAGGGCAGAGCTCAGTGGAATGGGCAGGTGGGCTTCTCCTCGGGCCCCTCCGGGCCCCATCAGGGACAGAAGGCAGGCAGGGTGGCTCACGTAGTAGGCCAGCTTGAGGCCACCCATGTCTGCAATGTTCTCCCCAAGCGTGTGCTTCCCATTCACCTGCCAGAAGGGAAAAGGGGGGGCTACATGGGGGCTCCCAACCCCAGCCCACCTTCTCCCTCCCTTTCCCAAAGCCTTTCTTTTCTCACTCCCTTGGACACTGCTTGAGTCAGTGTGAGCTCACTATGTGCTGTGTGCTTGTGTATGAGAACCCTGAGCATGCGTGCAGGGACCTTGCACAAGCATGTACACAAGTGTGCATGTTCCCTGTTCGTGCCCAGCTGACGGAGAGGGTCTCACCCGCTGGTTATAGACAGTAAAGTTGTCATAGAGGCGCACGATGCACTCGGCCTTGCGCAGGAAGCGGCTGTAGGAGGCCTCTGTCCACCAGTGCAGCAGGTTCCCAGAGCGGTCGTACTGGCCCCCTGTCAGCAGTGGGAGGGCAGGTGAGGCTGACCAGCACCCCTAGAGCCCCCTGCCACCAGCCCCACACCCACCCTGCCCCAGCCAGTCTCTCCAGCCCCAGCAAGCCTCACCCCAGTCATCATAGCCATGGGTCAGCTCGTGCCCGATGATGGTGCCGATGCCCCCATAGTTCAGAGACCTGGGCCCATGGCAGCAGCTTCAGGCCCAGGCCTTGGCTGCCTTCTGAGAGCCCATGCTGCTGTCCAGTCCCCTGGAAGCCCCTGGCAAGGCTAGGAGGTAGCCAGGGAGGCCACAGGGGCATCCACGAGGTCCTGGGCACTTGTGCCTCAGCTTCCTCATGGGCTATGTGAAAGGGGACAATGGTCCATCCAGCTGCCCTTTTGGAAATAACATCTAACACAGCTGGTGGGGGCCATATGGCAGGGTTAGAGGGAGGCAGGAGGGAAATCGAGGCATCCGAGTGGGCATTTGGCCTCCTTCCTCATCACTAGGGTCCCTCCACCTTGGAAACACCTAAACATGCTGAAACAGGCAAAGGGCACCCAAGAAATTTTAAAACCAAAACAAAACAAAAATCCCAACTACACATTCTTTTAAATAAGCAAGGAGGAAGTGGGACTATGGGACCCCGGCCCAGCAGCTGTCATGAACCAGCCCAGTTCTGGACCAGTGGATGCCTGCCCCGCCCACTTGCATTCAAGGTCCCCTACTCACTGTGGGAAGTCAGGGTCATACAGGGTGGGCTGCAGGATGCCTGCGGGGAATACTAGGGGGGCGTGGTCAGCAGACAACATGCCTACTCAGGCCCCACCCCTGGCCAGGACACACCCCTTACCCATCTGGTTCTTGTTGGGCAGATAGTAAGCATTGAGTGCCTGTGGGGGGAGCAGCCACCTGTGGAAAGAGCCCGGCGTCACCTGAGGGACACACAATTGCTCCCGCACAATGCTCACGTCCTTGAAGACTGTCCTGACCACCAACCACAGCCACCTCCTGACAGCACTGCCTCTGGCCAGCCCCAGGCCGGGCCCACGCACCCCTACATCAGCCCAGCTTTGAAGAGGTTTCCTCCAGCAACGCCTGGCCTTGGGAAGGAGCCCTCCCACTACGCTCTCCCCTGACCCCCAGCCCAAGGCCAGACACCCACGTGGACTTGTCCACCTCCTGGCGGATCTTCTTGACGGAGAGCTGGATGCTGAAGCGGATGCTGTTCAGGATGTTCTTGAAGTATGTCTTCTCGTGCACCTCGAACTGTGTGGGTATTGGCAGGGCCCTGCCATCAGCTGAGGCACCACGGTTCTGTCTGTGGTGGTGCTCGGCTTCCCTGGGGTTTGGGCCAGAGCCATGGAGAAGCCTCCCGATCGGGCTGGGCAGAACACGGGAACAGGGCCCACCTCGTACTCCTTGTCCACAGCCTCTGGTTTGAGCAGGGTGTCCGGGTAACCGACCATCACCATCATGTACTGGAGCTGTGGGTGACAGACAGGTGGCAGGGGCCTGGGGCCTCTGAGCAGCTCCAGCTGCCCAAGGGAGGAGCTCTAGGCCAGCCAGGTGTGGGGGTCAAGGCAGGGAAGAACAAGCAGGTGATGTGGCTCCACAACGGCAACTCTGTCTCTTATTCTCTTGTGGTCCCCAGGGTCTGGTACCCAGTACACACTCAGGTCCCAAGTTACCTTAGCCCGAGCAGCAGCCTTGGTCTGGGCATCCATCCAGTCCAGCTCCTCTAGGCGCTGACCCAAGATGTACTTGATGTCTTCTACCAGCTGCTGTACCTGGCAGGTCAGGAGTCAGAAACCATAGGTCAAAGGGGAGGCTGAAGATCTGGCCCCCAGCCCTGACAACAAGGGTATCCTTGTCCTCTATACCACTTTCTAAGTTCAGGGTGCCATGCTGAGCACCAAGGGGAGACTTTGGAGGTGGGAATCCATGCCCTGCACCCTGACCTTAAGCCCCCAGTCTGGAAATTGCCCAGAACAATCCTGCTCGTTCCTGAGGCCATGCCTACTGTGCACTGGCAAGGGTTGGCAGATGTCTGGCAGAGAGCGTCACCTGCAGCCAACCCAGTACATAGGCTTCCCCGGGCTAGGCCTGCAGCCTGGAGCTCAACACAACTGAGCCCTAAGCCAACCCTGGCATCCCAGCTCCTGGCAAATGTGCCAGGCTCCCCATCCTTCATGCCTAGTTCTGCACCTGCACCCACACCCCATGCCCAGAGCAGCCTGACCTTGGCTTTGCTGGCAGCCGAGAAGTGCTCGTGTACAAAGAGGGCGCCAAGTGCCATGCCGAAGTGGCGGTTGGCCTGGCCCAGGCAGACTCGGGCCAGCTCCTGAGGCTTGTCACTCCCCTCCATCTCTCGGGCCAGCTCGTGCAGGGCCTCACGGAATGGGGGAGACAGGTGCTCACTCAGGACCACCACCACTCGCCACACAAGGTAGTTGTGCAGGATCCTGGAGGCAGGTGAAGCAGGGGTGCTCAGAGGGACATGCAGGTGGGCGCTCAGACCTGTCCCACCCACGGATGGCGCAGTACCCACAAAGCCCCCCAAAGAAAGGGGAGAGTTCAACCCAGGTGTGCAGAAGCTCAATACAAAGTGTCATGAGCCCCTGTCTAGCACAAACCGCAGCACTGCCCTGAAGGGTCACCGCCAGCCCCGGTTCCCATCTTCCTGTGGGTGGGACTCGGGGCACTCGGGCTGACTTTCTGCCTCAGAGCTGGCCTGAGAAGGGGCAGGGACAGGAGGCTCTCCCCGAGGTGACGCTGGGCAGCAGAGTCAGGGACACCCCTTCCCACGGGGACGCCGGTCTCAGCCTCACCGCCCGAAGCAAGGAGAGCAGCTCAGGAAGCTCCCAGCCTGCCTGGCACCCACAGCGCAGGGGGCAGCGCCAGCCTCTGAACCCAGGGATCTGGACTCCTGTGGCGGTGCCCTCACCCACCCACCCGGGTGGCTTCGCCCCGAGGGGAGGTGGACACTCAAAGGTGGCCACGCAGACAGCTGCAGGTGCAGAGCAGGGCCCTGCAGACGGCGGGGGCGGGGCGGGCTGGGGCTGCAGCCCACCTGTGGGGCGTGGAGCGGATGAGCTGGGACACCTGCTGCATGTAGTCTGTGGCCAGCAGCACCACCTCCTCGTCCTCCGAGAAGTCCTCCTGGAAGATCTGGTCCAGCAGCCACTTCCAGCGCAGCTGCGGGGCCGAGGGCAGGGTCAGAGAGGCGGAGGGGACACCAGGGAGGGTCCAGGTGCACGGAAAGCAGCACACCAGCCCCATGAGGGGAGCCCGGCCCGGCCTGCGCGGCGGTGCAGCCACACTCACATAGGGGGTGATTTTCTGCAGCTGGCCCAGCGTGACCTTGTTGTACATGGCGCTGACGTCCGGCCCCAGGTCATTGTACTCTGACACGGTGATCTGGGAGGAGACTGTGCTGAGCGGCCCTGCCCAGGCCCCGGCCCCAGCCCAAAGCCCACTGTTGCTCACATTGGCCAGCCGCCGCTCCAGCTGAAGGATCTCCTGGGCCTTCTGCTGCACGGAATCAGCGCCCAGCAGGCTAAGCAGGCGCTCCATGAACACCCTGTAGGCCGCCAGGACCTGTTTGGGACAGGGTTCTTCAAGGCGGGGCACACAGCAGCCTGGGGACGTCCCCCTGGGCCCAGGCCTCCCCACAGCCCCTTCCCGCCAGGCACCTTCTCACTCTCCTCATCCTGAGCCAGGTACAGGGTCCTCTCTGGCAGGGTGAGCCCATCCTGGTCAATCTGGGAGGGTGACAGCGCTCGGGGTGAGAGCTCAATGTGCCAGCTTCCCGGACTGAGTCCCCCGGGGTGCCAGAAAGCACCTGCCAGACATCTGCTGTCACCGCCCCAGGGGCACAGGGACACGTGCCCCTCCCCCACCCAGAGCTGCCTCCCAGCCTGGGCACAGCGGGGAGCTCTCCCACGCCTTCCCCATCGCTCCGAACTTCACCTGCTGGGCACCGGAGGGGCCCTGGCATTCTGGCCAGCCCCTGCCCGCGCCGCGTTTTCGCCCCAGCCCTCGGTCCCCTCCCTCCACTCTCCCCGAAGGGCTGAGATCCGCGACTCGCTGCACCCCACCGTCAGCAGGGCAAACGATCGGCGCGCTCCCCCCTCCTCGAGCAGCGTCTTGGCTCCCGCGGTTCCCGCACTCACGCGGATCACATAGCGCGAGGAGTTTCTGTCGTCCAGGCTGACGGTGAGCGAGAAGAGTGCGGCCGCGCTGTACACGCCCTGCGCCTTGTACAGCAGCCGGTTCAGGTCCCAGCGCGCCGCGTCCCAGCCCCCGCAGTCGGCGATGACCTCCAGCATGGGCCGCGGCCCGAGCCGCTCGATCTCGCGCATGTCGAGGCACGAGCGGAAGAAAGCGCGCACCTTGCGCTGCGCCGCGCCCCCCGGGCCCCCAGCCGCCCGCGCCAGCAGCCGCCGCAGGCGTTCCTCGTTCTGCTCGCCGATGGCCGCGATGGTGCCGTAGGTGAGCTTGTCGTCGGGGATGGCGTGGCGCCGCAGCCAGCCGCCGCACGCGAAAGAGTAGAAGTCCTGGCATGGGTCGATGCTGGCGTCCAAGTTGGCGGCCAGGAAGCGCGCAGCGCGCGCGAAGGCCTTCCGCTCCGGGCAGCCCTCCGGACAGGCGCCCCCGCCGGCCGCGCCCGGGGCCAGGTACTTGAGCGCCAGCATGGCGGCCAGGATGGCGCAGAGCCCGGCGGCGAACACCAGCCCCGACAGCAGGCACACCTCGCGCCGGTTCCAGCGCGGCAGCCCGGCGCGCGCCCCCGAGCCCCGCGGGAAGCCGGGGGGCAGCGAGGTCCCCCGGGGGCTCCCCGCGCCGCAACGGCTCACGTACTTGACCTCCTGGAATTCATCGTAGTGCGCCGTCATCGAATACGGGGCCTCCATGGCGCGCGCTCAGTCACCGGGGACCCTTTGTCGGCGTCCGCGGGCTACAGGGTGCGCTGGGCCACCGGCCTCCCCGTGGGCGTCCGCATACCCTCGCCCGCAGCTGCGAGAAGAGCAGAGAAAGGATTAGGGGGTGCGCAGCCCCACAGGGCCCAGTGGCTCGAAGAGGCCGAGTGGAAGCCCAGTTGTGGAGGCAGAGGCCACCCGGGGTCTCCAAATGCAGCCAGGGCCTCTCTCTGCCCACCCCGGAAGGGGGAGTAGGGAAAAGAGGAAGGCTCAAAGCGGCCTCCGCATCTGGCACCACCGTGGATCCTGAACGAGTCTCCCTGCGTCCTGCGCACACAATGCCCACTGCAGGCTCCGGAGGCCCCTGCCAGAAGAGTGGGAGCACCGGCACTGGCCTGGGGCGCGGTAGGGCATGGCAGTAGGCCTTCACTGACCTATGGGTGCAGACCTGCTGAGGCCAGGCCCGGGTGAGGGAGGGGTGAGCGAAGCTGAAGAGGAGGGGCGAAGTCGGGAGCGTCTCTGCGGACCCTGAAACCGCCTTCAGCTCACACTGAACAGCAACGCCCAAGAAAGCAAGCAAATCAGCAAACTTTGTCCTCGCGGGATCCGCAGAACCACTCCTAGCCCGGCCTCCGGATCGGGCTAAGCGTTGGCCCAAACGCCCACTCGCCCTCCCCTAAGTCGCAGCGTCCTCACTGTGGGGTTGGGGAGACGGGCCCCTCCCCAAGCCCCTGCCCGAGAACCCGAGGTCTGTCCATCCTTTGCGTCGTCCCCAGCCCGGGCCACTCCCCGCCTCAACAGGTTCTCCCCGAACCCAAACTTGGGCGAAGTTTCACCCCCCGCGCGGAACGAGGGAGCGGGCACGCCGCTCCCCTGGGCCGAGCCTCCTGTGCCCAGCCGTGCGGTCCGCTGAGCGCCAGAGCCGAGCCCGGGAGTCGCAGCCGCAGCTGCAGCTGGAACCGGAGCCGAGGGGGACGCAGACAAAGCCGGAAGGCTCAGCGCCTCGGCCACGGGGGCCGTGGGGGTGGCGGTGGTGGAGGTCGCGGCGGCGGCCTCGGACTCCACTTACCCGGCAGCTACGCGCCCGCTCGGGCGAGAGCGGAGCGGGTCGGGCCGAGCCGGGCCTGAGCCCGGCAGAACGGAGCGGGGCGGGCGGCCGCTGTCTCCATGCGCCCGCCGCCGCCTCTGCCGCGCGGAGCCCGCCGGCCCGAGGGAGGGGGCGCGCCGGCAGCTCCACCCCCGCGCCCCTCCCTCTTCCTGCCTCCCTCGCGGCTACCTGTCAGCTCCGCAGCAGCGCGGAGGTGGGCCCGGCGGCAGCGGAGCGGGGGGCGCGCAACAGCTTCGGGCTCGGGAACTACTGGTCCAGCTGTGTCCTGGAGGAGTGCGCGGCGGCTCCCCCAGGAGCAGGGGCCCCTCCGAGGCCGCGTGGGGGCCAGGTAGCAGGTCCCAGCCCGGCACACTGGACTGGAGCTCGGCCCGAGAGGACGGAGAGGACGCCGCAGACCGTGGGGAGGCGCGCGTGGAGAGCCCGGTGTGGATGGCCTTCAGACCCGGCTTCCTCGACTTCCTTTTAACCCCGCCGGGAGCACTCGCTGTTGGTGTTTAGGCTATTGGTTGGCCGCGCTCTCCTCACCCAGCCCCAGTGGGCAGCGCTGAAGAGGAGCCTGAGGCTCAGACTGTGCCTCCCCTCAGCCTTGGCTGGCCTGGCACCCCTGCTCCGGAAGCCCCTGGCCCGGGCAGAAAGAACTGGGCTGGCCCAGCAGGAGCCTGCACCCCCCCACACACCCAGCGGCCCAGCCCTCAGGCCGCCGCCCCGCTCCCCACCCCCAGTAGAGCGCCAGACCTTGGTGTGCAGACAGGCTGTCCAGGGCGAACCGACCCTACCCCTTCCAAAGGAACTTGCTTTTTGTATGCGGGGCCTCCCTCCTCCCCCAGGCTGAGCCCACTTCTGCCTTCCACACTGAGCTCACAGGGCCAGGCCCACTGGGGACACTGAGAATCTGGGGCGTCTTGGACGTGGGATACTGTTTCTGGAGTCTGCTTTCTCTGCCCCGCCTGCCACCCGGCTCCCTCCAGTGCCCCTGCCAGGGAGCCCCCTCCTCCCAAAGCACCAGCCTGCGGGACCGGCCTAAGCAATGTTTGAGAGCCTCGGGTGATGAAAACCAGGGCAAGGTGGGGACTGCGAGGACCAGCCCAGTGGCCACCGCTGCCCCGTCCTCCGTCTGTCCGTGTCTGCGACTCTTAAGCTCCCACTCGGGATAGTTTGCGACACTCTCCGGCCGTCCCAGGGTTCTCTCTGCCTCCTGCGTCTTCTCTGGCCAAATCAATTCCACCAAGGAGAGATGGAATTACGCAGAGCACGGTGATTCCGCGAGGGGGAGGGGAGGCCAGGGCGGCGGCAGAGCGGCTCTTTGTGCTTTTAATCTGCATTTTCCCCTCGGTGTTCCATCTCCTGGAGGATAATTTTCCAGCCCTTTCAGGCCCTGATTGGTATCATTTCTCCAGCAATGACAGCTTTTATTTTCCCCGAAATGAATGCCATGAAATTTCCAAGAAATATAAAAATGGATATTGTCTCAGGAAGCCGGCTGTCCCGGACAGCGAGGCGAGGCGAGGCGCAGAGGCACACTCGCTCCCCCAGGGACTTTCCCGCTCCCTCCATGTGGGGGCGTGGGAAACCCCGACCCCAGCCCCTCCCCTCCTCTCTCTCCCAGCTCAGCTCTTGGACCCCTTCACGCCATCGGGCCATCCTGCTCTCCCGCCCTCGCACCCACCCAACTCCCAGCCAGGCCACCATCAGGCCCTCGGCCTGCTGCAGCCAGCGTCTCCTTCCCCGTATCCGGCCCAGGAGCCCCCCGGCTGACCTCCAGCCCTAGCCCAGCGACCAGGGCCAACTGGAGCTAGCGTGGGATTGGGCCCTCTGACCACTGCGTCGTGGTCACCCCTGCACAGCTGGCCATACAGAGGGCCTGATCCCACCTCCTTCACACTGGTGACTCCTCCGGGAGGGATAGTGAGGCTGTAGACCAGTGGGGGACTCCAGAGGTCTGACCCCCAGTTCTCTTGCCCTCTTTAAGCTTTCCAGGCCTCTTCCCAAATGCCAGGGTGACCCCAGAGCAGGAGAATGGCAGGAGACACCTGTGCCAGGCTGTCTTGGAAAGAGAAGGCCACAAGGGATGGGGACACAAGGGGTGAAGGGGAGGAGTTGGGGAGCTAGGGAGGGTGGATCCCGCCCACCAGGCTGGATGGGGCGTCCCTGGGTATGGGCTCTGGGGAAGGAGCGCCCAGCAGCCCTGACTCTGGGGACAGCAGTGCTGGCCCTAAGGATGCCCAGGCACTGAGCATTCACCAAGGGAGGTGCCAATGTCTTGCCCTGGAAGAGGGCTCCCAGCCTGGGGCGTGGCCACAATCAGCCCCGCCCCTGCTCCACTCTGCCCTGCACAGGTGAGGGGCAGAACCCCAGCACCCCAAAACCTGTCAGGGCAGGGAGTCAACCCAGGGATGTGCCCAGACTCTGGCTGTCCAGTCAGCCCCTCCCCACACTCTGTGGTGTCTTCCTGCCCTCCACCCGGCCTCCTCCGGCTCATCCATCCATTATTCACAGCACAAAATGGATTTTTAATTTGAGAAATGAAATGACTCTCCCAAGTGGCTGGGGTGGCGGGAGGGCTGGAGGAAGGCTGGATCCGCAGGCAGCTGCTCAGCACTGGCTCCGGCTCTCCTTGGAGAGTGGGCGCCTGCATCAGGTGACCAAGGCTCCTGGCCACATGTCCCCACCGCCCGCCCTGTGCCTCCGCCCTTCTTGTCCCTGTGGCTCCCTGTAGGGAGGAGTGCTAGTCAGTGCTGCCTGGGCCCTGTGGGTCCTGGCCCAGGGGTGGCTGGGCCCCTCCTCGAACTTCCTGACCCCATCTGGCTGCCTGGCTTTCCAGGAAATGTCTCACCTGTGAGTCACACCACTGAAAGGATTTTTTAAATTATTTTAAAGTAATGTATAATTGATTCCTTTGTTCATTCATTTAAGTTTTGGGTCAGGGTCTCACTCTGTTCCCCAGGCTAATCTCAGACTCCTGTGCCACTATGCCTGGCTACAAAATAGATTTTTTTCTTTTTTTATGATAGTAGGGATCGAACACAGGACCTTCACACTGACTGAGCTGCATTCCCAGCACTTTTTTATTTTATTTCTTTCATTTTGAGACAAGAACTTACTAAACCACTAAGTTGCCCAGGATGGGCTAGAACTTGAAATCCTCCTGCCTCAGCCTCCCAGAGAGCTGGGATTACAGATTCGTGCTGCCAGACCCAGTTTATAAGCCTCTCAGCTGGGCCCCTTGCTGTGGCCCTCTGGTCTGGGTGGCTGTCCTGACCTCCTCACTGTCCTGTAGTCCTCAGAAGCCTCTCCTCACCCCTCACGACTGAGCCCAGTTGCCTTAATCTGGCCCTCGACGACTCTGCTGTCCTCCTGTCTGTCTGTGCTCCCAGCCCAGCTACCCTCTTCCCTCCAGAACTCTGGCCTGTTGTCCTTTCCCAGAATGCAGCTGGCGCTCTGCCACTCAGGGCTCGAACACTTGGGGTTCCAGCCTCTGGGAACACCTCTCCTGCCACCCCTTCCACTGGCCAATTGCCAGCCACTCCTGTCATCCTCCCAGGTCACCTGGGAGTGGCCGGTCCCATCTGACCAGGGGCTGCCTCTTTGGGCCGCATGTCCACTCTCCCTGGGCCCCACTACACTGGACACAAAGGCCTCCCCTGTGCGGCCCACAGTCCTTCAGGCAGTCGAGGACCAAGCACACATCTGACCAACTCAGGTGACAGGAAGGAAGGAAGATGGCAATACAGTCTTGTTTCAAGAGACTTGAGCTGCACACACCTGTAGAAGGCAGACGTGGAGGCTTCCTTCACCTGTCACCTCCCAGCCCTCTGAGGCAGGGACAGGAAGCCTGTGACCGCGTCAGCATGGCTTCTGTTTATCTGCAGGACACTCCAGGATGCATGATTTGGGGTCTTGCCTCCCACGCAGTCACCTGGGTCTTTGGGGTCTTTCTGTGTTGATGCCCACGCCCACACAGAGGTCCTTAGGGTCCCATCCTCACCTGGGGGACATACTGTGTCACCCACACACACCTGGCAAGACCCAAATCCCAGGCCTTACCTGGAGTCCTGCTCGGCTGGCTCCCTGGCCTGTGCTCCTCTTCCATCCCCTGGACTCCATGCTGGTCTGTAGACAGGGTCCTGCCCTCCCCAGACCCCAGGTGTCACCGGGCTCTGCTGCTGGGTCCCAGGTCCCAGCGTCCTGGCCTAGGGCACTCTCACCCCTGCTTCCCCGTTCACTCTGCCCCCAGGTCTGGCCCTGAGCTCTCCCTCCCTTGCCCACCTGGGGCACATCCAGCCCATGCCCTCTGCAATCCCTGGTCCTGTGTGTTCAAGGCCTAAGTGCCTGGCTGCTGCTAGTTCACATCCCAGAGTGTCCCTCCTCGGGCCCACCATGCTGTGTGCAGCTAAACTCCCTCCAGCCCAGGGCCTCATCCTCAGACCTGTCTTCAATCTGCGGCTGTGAGTTGCCCCGCTGAGGAAGCAGCTGGAGGACACGTGGCAGTGATGGGGGCCTGGAGAGACCAGCCACAGTGACATTCAGGGAACCCCCAGGTGCCACGCCCAGGGGTGTGCCAAGATGGCTTTGCCCAGAGACGGGGGGGGGGGATCTCAGCCTGCAGCTTCCTTTCCAGATGTACCCATCTCTGAGTACATCCTGTGCTGCGTGTGTCCCCACCTGACATCACCCTGTGACGTTATCTTGTGATGATGGTCTCTCTTCCTCAGCTCTGTTGGAACCAGGTTTCCCCACTGTTCCTTCTTTCCCGCAGATCTGAGACTCGGCACAAGACAGGGAGTCTTGTGGGGTGGGGCTGAGCTGACACAGACAGGGGCAGTGGCAATGGGGGACAGGAAGGACAGGGAGGTGACAGCCAGGCTCTTGGGTTTACCACTCAATGGGAAGCAGACAGGCAGCTCAGTTCCTACTGCAAGATGGAAAGAAGGCT